TCTGACTTTTTTCCTCAGAATTCTGACTTAAATTTCAGAATTCTGACTTTAATCTCAGAATTCTGACTTTTTTCCTCAGAGTTCTGACTTTTTTCCTCGAAATTCTGACTTTAATCTCAGAATTCTGACTTTAATCTCAGAATTCTGACTTTTTTCCTCAGAATTCAAACTTTTCTCAGAATTCTGACTTTTATCTTAGAATTAAGACTTTTTCCTCAGAATTCTGACTTTTTTCTTCAAATTCTGACTTTAATCTCAGCATTCTGACTTTTTCCTCAGAATTCTGACTTTTTCCTCAGAATTCTTACCTAAAGCTCAGAATTCTGACTTTTTCCCTCAGAATTCGGACTTTAATCTCAGAATTTTGGATCTTAATGTAGATGGGCACCATGAAAAAAGAGATGAGGGAGCACTCAGCTTCACTGACAAAGATGTGACTTGTTTGGGAGGACCAGTAACACATTGGTAGAAAATGCAATTAGGCACATTTTTAGGTGCCAGAGAGGTCCTCGGTGATTATTTCATTAATGGAGGAGCAGAAGGTGATTAAAACAAGAGAGCTAATCTTTAAAACGGACATGGCTATGGCTTGATGCTGACATGTTTGTTAGCTGTCAGAAAACAGTGAGAATTCTGAAATTAAAGTCAGAATTCTCAGATTAAAGTCAGAATTCTGACTTTTTGGTCATAATTTACAGAAATAAAATTTGAAAATCAGTTAACTTGTGGCCCTAATCCTCTTCCGTACAAGGATGTCTGGATTCCTAAAGTCAAAGAAACACATTTTAAAGTTATAAACAAAATTTATCCTGTAGCAGAATTTTTAAGAAAAAGATTTGGTTTAGTGTTGGATCAATGTTCCTTTTGAAATAATAATAGTGAAACTCTTGAACATATGTTTTACCAGTGTCTTCCTACACATCTGGAAAGAGATGAAAGATTGGATTTCTTTGAAAATGAATGATGTTCCCCCATTCACCCTAAATGATGTCATTTTTTTATATGGACCATCTTCCCCAGCCCTATTCTGATACTATTAATATCCTCCTGCTGTTGGGTAAATATCATATCCACTGTGCTAAATGGAGAAATGCTAAACCTTCCTTTCATTGGTTTATGAATGACTTTAAACCCCTTTTTTCTTCTCTTAAAAAGATTTTTTTTAAAGACAAATATGCCAAAAGAAAATTGAGTCTTGAATTCTCCCAACATATGCTATTCTAAGTGCATCCACCTTTTTGTTTTTCATATTTCTATGGCTCTTTCTATGTTTGATATAAATGTTTGTTGAGATAAATCCCCTGCTATTTGTTTTACTTTGTTTTTTTCAATTGTAATTAATCTTCATCTTTTCATGTACACTTTTGCCATCCTCTCTAAGAGTATTTTTTCATGTAAATGTCAACGGCTTGATAAAAAAAAGGATGTCTGGAATACCGTACATTTTGTGCAACAACCAACAGTGTAGTGTCAATTATATGCAGGGATTAATTAAAAAGTGGATCTGATATATTTAAACATCGGCCACTTTATTAAATACTCTTTTTGTTTTGCCCTGTTGTGTCTCTTTAATATCAGGTTTCCACCATCCATCCAGTGCCTGTTTGCTGCAAACCAGTTCTCACAATTTTATGTTTGTCCAAATGATCTTTGGAACCAATGAAATTCCAATAAAGTTCTTACTTTACTTGTGTTAAATTATAAAACTTTGTTTTCTGTCTTAATCAGTTTCTATTGGTGACCAGTCATTAACTGAAATAGTGTACTTATTTACTTTGTCTATTTAAATATATCTCTCTAAATAAGGCCAAATAAGACTGCTGTCTCTTGGCCTATATGTAATGTAATGCATTTTTACATCTTTCCAGCTTTCCCTCCCGGATTCCTTCCTGAGAAGAGATCACTCGAAGCAAACACTTTATCTAACATGTGATTTAAATGACCATGAGTGAAGAAAAAAAATAGCAACAGAATTTTCATGTTTAGAATAAAAATGGAATAGAAACATTGTCCCACAGTGGGGAAATTCACAGTGCATTTGCTTGAGTGATAAGTGTGTCCTTCTGTACTTATTTTTTTTTTTTTGTATTTTATTGCTTTTTAAATATATCCAGGGTACTACAGAGGAAAAACAGCCTTTGGCTAACTCTAGCTTTCTTTGACACATGAATAGTCGTGTCGTGTGTTTTATTGAATTGTGCCACCCGCTTTCATGTAAGTCAATCGGATCAAATTAAGAGCATAACAACATCAACATCAGTGCTTCCACATATTCATTCAAAAATATTAGTGTGCCTGCTAATGAGTTTTCACAGAGGTCTGAAATAAAAGAAACAAACAAATATTTTTTTGTCCCATTTGGTTTTATTTTCTTGCTCAAAGATCGTGCTCAATCCCCAGACCTTATTACACATCCAGATTTACCCATCAGCAATGCAAATGCTTCTGGAAATATCAACCACATTAAGATATTTCCTTTCTCTGTTACTGCCACCCTCCACATGATGTCTATGTATTCTTACACTGCTGCTATGAACGGATGACCTCTGTGTCCGGAGAAAGTTTAAAGTCCACCTGATAGAGTTGGATGTTTGGAGATTGTTCAACCAGGTCTCCACCATGAACAGAAAATCCAGTTCTTGCCTTTTACAGTGAGTGGAACAAGTACAAAGTCTTACTTGGTGAGGCTGTAGAACTGATCAGGACAAGCTTCACTGGAAAACAATATTTTGATGGGATATTTATATATATCCAGGGATTAGTCCCCCATAATGCATTGCTGTTCTAGTACAAAGGGAGAACCCCAAAGTCCTCACCTGATTCTATTTGAAAAGCTTTTAAGTAGGTAGCTGGGAGTAGCAGAGAATAAATATAGCCACCCAGTTCATCCATCCAGGAGAAGCAACAGATATGCTGATGAAGACCAAAGACTAGAAAGTTTTCCAGTCCTGCAGACACTTGATGGCATCTAATGTACACCTTCTACAGAGGTGCTCTAGTGAAAACTAAATGGAACAACCTAGAGCAAATAAGTTATTGCTGTTCATATTTACAGAGTTAAAACTATATGAAGGATACATGTAAAGTTGGATATATTTGGCAGGCCTGCTCTATTACATCTTACATCTATCTAAAGGACGAAACAAGCAAAAGCAGAACAACCGTCCTTCTACAAGGAATCCAGACATTTGAGTTATTTCTTGTGACTCATCTGTTTTTAAAAGAAGTTCATCTAAGGTTGAAATACTCTCCTTAAATGTTACCATAGTTATGTGTGGACATATGACGTCTCCTACTTACCACCTGAGGCCCATACATAAGCTCCCTGATTAACTTTCTTCTACATATAAAGCAGTTGCTGAGTGATAATTCTTCACAGTTAAGCTGAAATATTGTTGCCCCAGAAAGTGCTATTGCTTAAATTAGAGGGTACCCATCTAAGCAAGGCAATAATGGGGGCATTTTTTATGAAACCATGTCTCACCATATGAATCAGTTCCCAACTATTATATCTAACACTGTGCTTTGATTGGGGTTCCATGCTTTGGTTTCATCACATTTAGACTATAATAGTTTCTTAACTTGTCTGAACAAAAAGGAGCTTGCCTGTCTGCAAATGGAACAAGTTATCTGAAGCTGGGATCCTGATGCACAACAGCACAGAGCCCAACATTATTCCTGTTTAAAAATCTCTCCATTGGGTCCATGTTGCTCATTGAATGGATTATAAAATGTTAGTTTTGCCAGATTTATCCAAGTTTTAGAAAATAGACCATGGAATTGATCCAACACATGACCACTGCAAATTATGGATGCTTTTAAAAAGCATCTAAAGACATCCTTATTTTAAAGGTCCCATGTTTTGCAAAGTTCACATTGTAAAAGTCATATTTCCCCCTAAAGCCTGTGTATAAGCTTCAAAAATAAAAATAAAAACATTTCTATCACTGCCTTTCTCCACCTCTTAACTAACATGTGCTCAAAATTGTCTGTTTTAAAAAGCATTCTCCTTATGCAGAGAATGCTTAGCAGACCATCTGTTAAGGCCTCTTTCTAAATTTATTTTTCCATGCTCCTAGCCCTATCTGTATGAACTCTGACTGGTTGTCATGATTGTTGGGGCTGTGGTCTTTGGAAGCCAGAGGGGTGTGGAAAAGCCAAATCAGCTTGTCCAGAGGAGGGCTCAATAAGGAGCTTTCTTGGTACATACTGTTTGCCTAATCTGAGAGGAATTTTCCTGCACAAACGACAAAAACTTGCTTTGATGGTCTCTTTGTTAATAGTTTTTAATTTCAAATGTAGCACAATACTACAGCCTTTTATCCCCTCTTGCCCCAGAACTTCTTCGCCTGATACTTTTTTGCTTTTTG